GACTGGGAGTTATGGAAGCCCAGATTTCCTTGATGCTGTCAGATCTTCGTTGTTGGGTCTGGTGTCCCTCGTTTTCCTCTTGAGAATACTCCATAGATTCTCAATGGGTTTAGGTCCAGCGAGTTGTCTGGCCAGTCAAGCACTGTGGCACGGGCATCAAACCAGGTTTAGGTGCTTCTGGCGGCATGGACAAGGACCAGGACCTGCTGGAAGATGAAATCTGCATCTCCATACAGATCCTCAGCAGAAGGAATCATGAAGTCCTCTAAAACATTCTGGTAGACTGTTGTGGTGACCTTGGATTTAAGAAAGCAGAGTTTACCAACACCTGCACCGGACATTGCACCTCAAATCATGACTGACTGTGGATATTTCACACTGGACCTCAAGCAGTACGGGTTCTGTTCCTCACCCTTCTTCCTCCAAACCCTTGGACCTTGATTTCTGAATGAAAGACAAACTTTACTTTCATCTGAAAAGAGGACCGAGGAACCCAACAGTTGTAGCCCGTCTCCTGGATGTGCCTGAATGTGGTGGTTTTTGAAGCTGTGACTCCCGCCTCATTCCACTCTTTCTGGATCTCTGCCAGATTCTGGAATCTTCTCTGTTTGATAATCTGCTGAAGCCCACGGTCATCTCTTTTGCTGGTGCATCTTCTCCTGACACATTTTGCCCTTCTACTAGACTTTCCATTGATATGCTTGGACACAGCACTCTGTGAACAGCCAGCCTCCTTAGCTGTGAACTTTTGTGGCTTCCCCACCCTATGGAGAGAATCAATGATGGTCTTCTGACCAGTTGTTATGTCTGCAGTCTTCTGCATATTGAACCAAACTGAAGCAATTTAATGACACCTGGGGAAACCTGTGCAGGTGCTTTGAGTTTAGTAGATGATTAGTGTCACACTCAGTTTAAAACATTCATGCCCTGCAACATTTGGGCTGATTTCTTCACAGTATTCTAATTATTATTTTTTTTTTTAATCCTGTTTTCGTGGGTTTCATGAGCTGGAAGCCCAAATTATGTAAAAATAAACAAATAAATACTTGAAATTGTTTATATTGTGGGCCCTGAATCTATCATCCACTTTGTATTAAAGATTAACTTCTTGAATGGAATTATGGAAGTTAAACAACTTTTCCATGATATTCTAATTATTTGGAAAGGGTCTGTAGGAGTTCTCTTTTGAATTGGCCAATTTCAGTAAGTTAAATTTCACCTTGGGCAAGAAGAGGGGGAGCCAAAGGGAGGTTTAGCAGTTTGTGTACTGTTTTCCCCAAACTGGTTATAAAACAAATAAAATGTGTTCTCAGGGGTCAAATCAAAGTTGAACAAGAGCTAAATTTGGCCCCCGAGCCTTGAGGTATATGTTACATGTGACAACTCAGCTGCTCATCTAACTCTGTACTTCTCTGTGTTGCAGTACGGCAGTAAAAAAATGAACTACCTGCCCTATAATCACCAACATCGGTACTTCTTTCTAGGTACGTTCGCCTGAACTCATTGAAAATAAAGAAATCAAAATGATCTAAAGCCTTCCAGGAATAATCCAGGTTTCGTTCACAGTGGGACCCCCGCTGCTCATGCCCGTTTATTTCCAGATTCAGATAATGAAGGGCATTATTTCCCAGCGTGATTGGGGGGTAAGATTTCATCCTCTGTGTGATACTGTTCGGTTATATAACAAGTTTGTTACAAAATTTCCAATAGAAATATGTATATCTGATGAAATTAAAAGAGGAGCGAGGCCTTAACGAAACGCTTGAAATGATTTCCATCTTCTGTTTTAAAGGACCTGGTCTGGTATTTGTCATACTACATCCGCTTCTTTTCCTGTTATACACCTCTGTACGGCTTTTTGGGCTCGGTGGCCCTCATGACGTTCGTCAGGTAAATGTGCTCAAACAGAAACTCATATAAAAACGCACACGTGCTACTAAGTCCTGATAAGAATGGTTTCATGTTATAAGTGAAGAAGACATGACAATCAGTCTGCAAATGTTCTGTTGTGTTTAAAATTGTAATTTATTTTTAAAAGCAGCTAAAAATGAAAAAGTCTAATATTTTTAAGAAAGTTATTACTCATGTGTACTATATATTAGATGATTTTTTAAAGGATTAAATCCTATAGTAATTATTCCTCATCATACAGAGATAATATTTTTCTTTTATTTTAAGTACGTTTTTTTTTTTTATTATTAAATTTGATTAACAGTTTGTTGTAGTAGTTTATCTATTTATTTGTTTTACAGGTTCTTAGACAGCCAGTGCTTTGTGTGGGTGACTCAGATGAATCATCTACCAAAGGAGATCGAGTACGAGAGGCACCAGGACTGGCTGACCATGCAGGTGCCTGAATTATTCTCAAGTTCTGATGAAGGATGGTTTTATCTGCTGAAATGTTGTTTTATAATCTAGTCCTGCTTTGACCTTCTCCACACCTTTATCCCTGACCTGTTTGATGTGTTACGAGCTGTCTGAACAATCACTGTCTTACCTGTTTCTAAACAGCCTCCGTTTAAACAAATACAGTTTAATTCTGACTGGATGGATTATCAGAGCAGGACCAGAGACCAGAAACTATCCCAGTGTTTAAAATCAACTCAGAAGGTCCTACTGAGTCATTTGAGTAAACTTTTAATACTTAAAAAGTTGTTTATTTTTAAGATGTGTCAAGACCCAACCTAGAAGGGATGTCAATTACAAATGATTTTCGAGTCAATGTATTTGGCAGCACGATGGCTCAGTGGTTAGCGCTGTTGCCTCACAGCAAGAAGGTCCTGGGTTCAATCCCCAAGGACTGTGTGGAGTTTGTATGTTCTTTTCGTGCATGCGTGGGTTTTCTCCTGTTTCCTCCCACAGACCAAAAACATGTGTTAGTCTGCCTTCAGGCCCAGGCCTCCCTTGTAAAAGAGATCTGTGATCTCAATGGGATTTGCCTGGTTAAATAATGGTTAATAAATAAATAAATAAATAAATAATAATAAAAATAATAAAATTTGATTTTACTTTTAAATAAAAGTAAACAGTTTATTACCATAATATATACTTATAACTGGTTAAGAATGTATGCTATAATTTCATCATTCATAGTATTCCTTGTCTAATTACCAGACTGATGCATGCATTAAATGTCTGCTATGTTTCTTTTTATTTGTTGCAGCTAAAAGCCACGTGTAATATCAAGCAGTCCTCCTTCAACGACTGGTTCTGTGGACACCTCAACTTTCAAATTGAGCACCAGTAAGTCAAATGATGTCGTCCGGCACATATTTTCTAAATTAGCCTGTCTGCTGTCTCAAATATTAAAGAAATTAAATGAAATCCTTCACCTCTGCAGATACAACAAGAAACAGGAGTAAAAAAGTCCAGTGGATCATTTATGATTCAATCAAAGGAAAAAAAGCCAAATTAAGACCGTAACGTGTATTTTTAATTGCTCCTCTCTAAGTTTGTTCCCCACGATGCCTCGCCACAACTACCACCTGGTGGCCCCGCGGGTTCGAGCTCTGTGTGAAAAACATGGGATTCTTTACGAGATGAAAACTTTGTGGCGAGGAATGGCTGATGTTGTCAGGTAGACTCACTGACACAACGAGCAGCAACACTTTAAATAAAAGTGTCTGATCATACAGCAAAGAGATTAAACTGATTCAGGAAATAAAGATGCAGTAAGATGAACATAGATCTGATATTCATGCAGAATTGATTGCTTGTCTGATTTAACTGTACACTTTTAAAAAACTCAGGTTTTGTCCAATTTTTCCTCCTTTTGCTTTTCAGTTCACTGAAGACCTCAGGAGAGCTCTGGATGGATGCATACCTCCATAAATGATGAGCTTCAACAAAAACAGTGAAGTTTTTTTCCTCATTTTGTATCAAAACCTGAATAATCATGTTCAATTTACAATTTCATTTTGTTTGTAGTGAAAATGTTTTTTTTTTGTTTTTTTTTTTAAGAAGAATTCATAACATCTAACATTGATCAACTCAATAATAGTATGATGTTTCAGACAAAACATAAAAAAGTACAAAAATGGTTTTAATAAAGCTGCCAAATGTTTATTTATGTGTGCATTTAAAGGATTGTGCCGTGCTGAGTTTATAGCTATAAAAGTTGTCTGCAAATCCCAATATCTTGGTTCAGTTCAAAGAAAATGTGATTATGTTTCTGTCAGTTCAGTTTGAGCTGCTGAAATCATAACGCCAATGTCTCCTTGTTACAGAAAATTACCTCTTATTACAAATAAGTCTGTTAAGATTGTCAAAATATACGATGAGCAACTTAAAGATGTGAAATTTGGGGGTAACTGAGATTCGTCATGCTTTTAAACCTGCCCTTCGTTGTTGTTTAACATGTACAGACTTTAACCAGTGAGAATGGCACAAACTGCACTGTGATCAATCACTTTTTGTTGTTTTCTTATCTTAGATTGTTACCACTTTTTAAAATTTTAATAAAACAACGTCGTTGACCTTTAAAGTGATAATCTGGTCATTTTTAATGTGGTGTTCTGTCAAATAGTAATAAACAGTCAGCTGTGTGTCATCAACAAGTGGCTTGTTTGTGTTTTGTTTTTTTCAATAATTTTTCAGCCATTTAATAAAGTTTTATTAAAATTTTAAGAAAAGACTGTGAAATAATGCTACGTTAATCATAATGAACCTACAAAAAAAAAAAACTACAAAAGTGGACAGGTTTAATTTTAGCTCATGTAACGTTCTTTCACACAGTTTTTTGTCTTCTTACTGTTCTTTTGATTTTAGCTTTTAGCAAAGCCTTTTGATACTTTAATCTAGCTTATTGCTTTTTAAGCTTAAGATAAGATAAGATAGAACTTTATTGATCCCACAGGAAATTGTTGTGCCAGAGTTTCAGTACAAAGGAACATACACAACATTACATTCAGCTTTTAGATTTTAGCAAATCTTCGACTAATTTTACATTTTAGCTACTCCTTTGCTACTGTTGCTTTTAGCTAGCATTTTGCTGTTTAGTTTTAATCTCACCATTTTCTGCTTTTAAATAGCATTTCATGTACAGCTAGCTTTTATCTATATTTAGCTTTTACGCATTTTTGCTACTCCTAGATAATGTTTTGCTACTTTTAGCCTTTGACTAGCATTTTACTATTTGTAGTTTTTAACCAGCTTTTTTTCTTTCTTTAGGTTTTCGCCTAATATTTTGTTCCCATTAGCTTTTAGCTTTTTTTTTAGCATAACAAATTGGTTTCAGCCTCTTCATCAGCAAATTTTAGTGCACTTATTCAGCGGTCAGCAGTCACACTGCAGTTCTGCAGAAAATGTAACTGTTTTAGTTTCAGTCGTGTTGCAGTTGTGTATTTTTTTGTTTGTTTAATTCAACTAAAAGTTTATCTTTAAAGCAATTTTCAGAGTCCATCTTTCTTATTGCTTTGACGTGCTGCAGAGTACGGTGAACGCTGATAATTCAGCTGCTGATTCATCAAACTAGGATTATTTTTACAGTTAATGCAATGATCTAGGAAGTTTCTCCACTTTATCCTTGTTGACATGAATAGGAGGTAAAGGCAGCCCTTTGGTTAATCTGCTCTAATACCACTCAGGTTGACTCAAACACTTTACACAGACATTTTCTCTTATTTAGGATCAATCTTGAAGTGCGTGTTTATAAATGATAGGCGTTAATGCAAAATGTGATTTGGTGTCACGTTTTCGTCACATGGTGTGAGTCGTCAGGTCATTCCGGCTCCACAATGTTGACCTTGGATGGAGCAGTTATTTTGACAGCTGGGTTGATAAGCAAATATAAACGTCTCCTGAACGTGCACGAGTCTCTTGCTATCTTTTATTAGGCATTTTCCAGGCTTTAGAAAGGCCCCAACCCTTACTCTGATTCAGTGTTTCACAGAAGGAAACATAACTGCCTGCCTTTCCCCTCCAATAAAACAGACTCTTTATCAGTTTCTGAGAAACCTCCAGCACGTATCAGGTCCAGTTCACAGGTGAAACTTGAATCCTCCAGCAGTGGTTTTCTTTGGTCACTCAGATGACCTTTGCATATATTCAAATGAGCAGATTTGTAAACTCCCTGCACAACAACCAGTGGTTTCAACATGTGACAGCTGTGCTCTGACAGGCCAGAAATACCCCAAACCATTTCTGTTTGAAAGACTTCTGCTGAAGAACATCAGTGGATGAGTTTTATGGTGTTTGCTAGCAGACCAGCAACAAACCAGTCAGTTACAGTCACAGAACCCTCTGGATTCTGTAGGTTTATGTGGTTTTGGTCTGATTTGTATCACAATGGAGGTAGATAGCCCAGCACAGAGAGACTGAGGCGAAACAGACTCGAACTCGTAGTAAAAGTTAAGTGAATTTATTTTCAGTGTTAGGATATTTACAGGAGGCACTTGGAGGATCTGAAAAAGAAGCTGATGGTGAAGATTATGAACAGGTTTCTTTCCTTTCAGGTTTCTCGGAGGCTTCACTGCATTGAGAGGAGGGTGGAGGATTCCAGGTACGTATGGTCAGTGACGAGAAGGGGTCGAGGTGATGGCGGCGGTTCCTTAGTGATTTGTAGGCAAGCAGGAGGTGAGCGGCGGTGGAGCAGCTTAGACAAGTTGAGGCCGAGGTAAATGATCACAGGAGTTCAAGGTGGGGCTCGTCTTGGAGGCGCAGAGGAGAAAAACAGGTAATCAAGGATTTGATTTCAGGGAGACAGGTTCGATTGATATCTAATGCTCCAGCAGGGAAAGGAACACTTCCAGCTTCTTATACACCTGGAGCTCCTCAGAGGAATTGGACCACAGCTGCTGCTCATTGGCGCTGTCCAGAGCTCTGGAACCTGCAGAGAAAAAAACCATGGAGTCCTACAGTACCCCCCCCCCCACCCCTTTCAAGAACCGCATAGTTGATCTCAGACGCTTTCTTAGGGTGACCCTTGTAAAATGAGGAGATAAGGCTTGGATCTGATGAATGACCTGGGAATCCAAGGCCTCTCCTAGTGGTCATATCCATCCCAGTCTACAAGGTACTAGAAGCCCTGACCTCTGTGACTTACATCCAGGATGCGTCTGACCATAAAAGCTGGATAATTATCAAAGAGTCGGGGAGGTGGAGGTTGCCGGCCGACGTTCACAAGAAACTCTCAGAAACAGGTATAATGTGGGACACATGGAAGGTAGGATGGATGTGGTCATTTGAGTGCGGCTGCAGAGGGGTTGAAATTCTAGACATGTGTCACTTTCATAACTTTTTGCTTGTCTAAACAGGTCTCACTTGTAAATGAGTCTTTGAGGCTCAATATGATTTATCTGTGTAAATAAATGTTGAATGAAAAAAAAAGAACCTTTATGATGGGAAAGGACTTATAAAATAGGGAGCTAATTTACTGGGGGTGTCTTTTAAATTGATGTCACAGGTGGAGAGCCCTTCAGAATGATCCAGTAGGTAGGAGCTACAGAACAATGTTGATCAGTGAATTTCTTATTCTGGTAACAACGCCTCCTTGGTCTGTTGCCAAACTCTCCGACAACGAGGGAAATGATGCTGAACAGACGGTGCTGTTACCTCACACTTGTTGGCCTCGACAAACAGCTGATTCTTGTGAAGTCATTGAAGGACTGCTCTGTCATTTGAATGTGCTGTTGGATATCCTTGAAATAAAGTTTTTATTTATATTTTTATTTAACCTTTATTTGTACATTATGACTGTGAGAGACAAACAGCCAGTGTATAGTCAAAGACAAAGGCTTCAGGGACTTTGTTGCAAAACTACCAGTAGCTCAAACTCATGTTCTCCATACCAGAAAGGTATGTGTTGAAAATATGATGAGTGTTTAAATTAATAATTATTAATTTATTGTGTTCCTTTAAGTTATTAAGGCTGTGCTTTGTACCAGAAAACAAAAAGAGAAGAAGGCCAAAGCTGAGGTCCAGAAAGTTTGACAGCAGACGTGTGGACAATTTCAAAGAGAGGAACCAGTCCAAGCTCAGTAGAATAAACACTTGTCCTTCATAGAAATGAAAGAAGTCACCATGACCCCAGTATTCATAATCACTGTCCCACCACTGCAACATTTTTAACGTCTAATGACTGGAATTATACCGACATGTTTTTAATACAATAAAATACTTATTTTACCATTAACCAAACATCAAAATGTACATGAATAAACATCATGAAATAGAATGTAGGTGTTTTAATCTCTTTTCAAGGAGAGGCCGTCACAAGATGTGGAAATGAGAAAATATTAAACCAGCAGGCGGGGTTAGTGTGCACATGAAGCCTTGAGAAATGAACCTATTTTTAAACCAAGTGGAATGAAAGCTTCATGAAGCTTCACCTGGCCATCACTAGTGAACGGTAGACAAGCAGGAGGTGAGTGGCGGTGGAGCAGCTAGACACTTGGAGGCCAAGGTAAATGATCACAGTGGGGCTCGTCTTGGAGGCACAGAGGAGAAAAACAGGTAATCCAGGATTTAATCTCAGGGAGGCAGGTTAGGTGGGTATCTAATGCTCCAGCAGGGAAATGAACACTTCCAGCATCTTATATTCTCCTCCAAGGAAATGGGTCACTTGCGCCGCCCAGAAATCAGGAACCTGAACGTGCAGAGAGAAAACACTGGACTCCTACACTTTGAAAGATGAACATCAGCTGTTTGTTTTCTCCTGTTAGGGACAAATATATTTTCAGGAGACAAGTTTTTCTGTGATCCTCTGCTGGTATTTCTTTGTGTACTTTATCATTTCTTAGCTTAGTTTAACAAAACAGGAACGTTGTTTTTCTTAGATGCATTTATCTATGCTGCCGGTATGTATTAAATCTATTTTCTTCGTATGCAAACTCAGTTTGGAGCTCCCAGTTTGCAGGTTGTCTGATTTCATCATTAGAAATAAATGAAAAAGCTGCCCTGGAATTTGTTTTAAATATGTGTTCCAGTGGGATGGGGAGGGGGAGGTGAGCAGATTGGGTCATGCCACAAGCAGGCTGCAGGTGTTTACACCTGGGAGGAGGTCCAGAAACACAGCAGCAGGACAGACAGGTGGCTCGTCATCAACAGGAAGGTCTAAAACATCACTCAGTGGGCCAGAAGGGTCATCAGCCACTATGCTGGAGAGGATACCAGTGTACTGTAAAATGTATAACCCAAAGGGGCTGTCGTTGTATTTCAAACAGCATAAGATGTAACTTTTTATAGTATGACCTTAACTAATACACTGATGAACCACAGGTAAACTGCTGGGACACCTGCTTAACCTGTGAATAATCAAACTGATATATTATTTACAGGTTTTTATTGCTGTTAAAAGCCACATGTATCAGGTTTATACAACGTCGACCCCCAATGTAGCAGACCAAGGAAG